CTTGTACTGTATGACTCCTTTCTATTTTTCACCCAGGTACTTTTGCAGCCATGCCTGCTGAACTAAAACAAACAGGATTCTGTACCTGCTGTCGATGAAAGTCGCTGTTAAACCTTGACATAAGTAAACCAGAGTCTTTTATTTTAACCATCCAATTCTTGCAACCTCCTGACTGAGAGGTTTTAACGATCCTTTTCTTTCTTTCTTTTTTTTTTTTAATGTCCCCACCCAGTGCCACCATCACTCAGAGACTATCAGAGAGATTTGGTTTCTCATTCACCTTAAAGGCTTCCATAATTCAACATAATTAAGATCACATCCAGATACCCAGCAATTTTCAGCAACAGGGAAGATTTTCGAAACAGGTTTTCCTCCTCTTACCACAGACATAAAGGAGGCAAGACGACATTTTTGTCTGGTTCGCGGCAAACTTACTGACATCAATCTGAACTCTATTCTCTTTCTACAGTAAATATTAATTCTAAAGGAAAATACCATGCTTCAAATTTGCAGCATGAAATGAATTATTTTTCTGTTAGGCAGAGGGCAGAACTTTGGATGAAGCAGTGGATTTTTTTATATCATTATTATTGTGTTTTAACAAACTTTATAGCCCGTATTGTTTGTTCTCAAATAACTTTTCCCCCCTTCTTTTCTGCCATCAATTACTTGGTTTGTTCCCTTCACTGTATGATGTTGGAATCAAGAGATTGATACTGCTCAATGGTATATAATTTAGGATTATGTGCACTGGGTTTATGCAGTGGGAGTCAGACAAAACATAGCATTTGAACAGTATCCATTTATTAGCGCTAAGAAAGAGATTTATACTGTGACAAGTAGACAATAACTCTGTTTTCTGATAAGCCAAAGAGGTCTGCTTTGGAATCCAATACACAGAGTAGCTTACTCTTTCACCAATAACTCTGTTTACTAGTGTGAGTATATATTAATAATAAACTTGATATATACATGTAAATTCATTTTAATCTAATTTCATCAACCGAACTCTCCTAAAAATGGGCCTTTGTAGATTGTTTTCATATCTGAGTTATAGATTTCTGTATCCTATTCCCAGATTGATTTCTAGGCTATAATTCTGTCAAGATTTCCTCCTGGTGTCAAAAACAGCAACACCACAGCTAGAGTGTTTTATAATTGGCATCACACCTCAACCAGAATTATAGCTCTAATGTGCTTTCCCAGGGTGGGTGGTTTGATTTTCGAATCTCTCTTTTTCTCAGTCTATAACTGGACTTCAAGATTTTATGGCAAAAAAAAAATGTCTGCAGGATTAATCAGGAAATGTTTAATTTAAAGCATATGTTTGGGTGGGGCAGAGAGAGGAGAAGGGGGGAGAAAAGAAAAGAAAGAGAAAGCACTCTTTGAGCAATGTGAGGGAAATGTAGAAGAATGATTAAACACAAAACAGATGAATGAATCAGGGTTGTAAGTGAATATTTTAAAATGTATCTGCCTGCCTTCTGCTCTGAGATCAAATAAATTAAAGTTTCTATTCCTTATTAATTCTCCAGGCACCAATCCTTACTACCTGGGCGAGTGGGCTCTTTGCAAGCCTAAATTAAATCAAAGTCATATTTGTGAAGTGTTTTCTTGTCCATTTGAAAATAAATACTCCACCCCAAATAGCAGGCCTGGTTCTTTGATGCTAGCGTAGTATATGGGGCTCAGCAAATAGAACATTTTGACCCGGGATTTGGAAACTTGGTAACAGACACTTCCTCTAGCCCACATTGATTCATTTGCTTCTTCTACAGGTATGATTGTCTTGAGTACATCCAAAGCGCCTTTCATCCCCAAACATTTCATGTACCTAAAATAAGGTACAGTCTGGCCATGATGAGATTACTTGTCCAGCATAGGAACAGAACAAAAAAGGTATTGTGGCCTCATCGAAATCATAGCTCCAGAATTTCACAACTCATGTTAAAGGTTAATAAGAAGGCCAATTTTAATAGTGAAGAAAAGCCCAGAAAGCAACATCGCTTGGGAGTTATTATGGAAACCAGAGAGGAATGAGGACTAATATGGGGAGAGCCAGCAAAGTTTAACTTATGAGGAGGTAAGAACAAGAGAATATTTGACATGAATTACTGTAATCTATGGCAAAGTGCTCCAGAATAAGAATGGGGACATTGTTATTGGGAAGAGAGAGTGAGAATAGCAAAAAACACGGCACTATGGGAGATACAAAAAAGTATGACATATTGGTCCAGCTCTCAAGAAGCTTACAATTTAGATGAGGAGACAAGACATGTATAGAAAGTTAAATAACAGTACAAGAGATGTCATGAGGTGGGCTACGTTAAATGCTACTCGAACAATTGTCCTGATTGCTGCTTTGAGGATCAAATGAATTGATGCATGTGAAAACGCTTAGAAAAATATTTTTTAAAAACACTTGTATTGTGATAGCAAATTGTAATATTAATAGTAATGATAATTTGGTGTTCTATTCTGGGCTCTCCACTCCTGAGCATAGAATCTTGGAAAAGTCAGTCAACCTTAGGCAGAATTTTCCCATTTTAGAAATGAGAATATTGTTTGAATATAGTATATTGAGAATTACTTTAAGAACTATGAAGTAGATATAGACTACAGAGTTCTAATGAGACAGCAGCTGCAATTTAGTCCTGGCTAGTACAATACCAGGATAAGGTAGTTAACTGGAAGTTTTTCAAATAAGAGAAAGGAATATATTGTACTGATATTGAAAGATAAAAGAAAAATAGCTAGAAGCTAACTAAAATTACATTTATTCCATATTTCTTCAGTCTCCATCATGATCTTCTCTGTGATAATGCTGCCTGTTCAGTCCTATAATCCTAGAGGGCAAGGATCTTACTTATTTAATTCATTTAATACCACAACCTAAGGAATGCTTAATAAATATTTTTGAATAGAAAAAGGAATTCAATGGGTGGAGGCTGATTTGATGCAAAAAATTTAAAGTGACGTTGTAAGAAGTAAGGTCCCTAACACTAGCCAGCTATGTAAGCTCGAGCAAGTAATTTCATTTTTCCCATTTGTAAAAGGAGGGGGATGACTTCAGGGTCCCTTCCAGCTCTAACAATCCATAATTTTATGACTCTACATGCCAAGAGTGAGTGACCACTTGTAGAGGGCCAGTAATAGAGAATGTTGATGTGATTAATTTATAGTTTCACAAATTAAGGGAAAGGATAGTCTGGTCCATTTTTGTAAGCCCGTAATTTTAAGAATTTACCTGCAAGACTGAATTAAAATAACTAAATGCACATTGATTAACAATGCATATAACAAATGCATTCATTAATTTGTTCATTGATTGAACAAACTCAGAAAAGATATGGTCAAAACTATGGGATTAAGCACAAAAGAAGAGTGAGAGCAAAACCTAAGGATAAGAAAGAAAAAAATAATTAAAGCTATCCATCATCATTATCATTATCATTGTCATTGTTGTTTTTCTCATCTCATGGACACAAATGGTCCCAGGACAAGTTGATATCCCACTATTTTTTTTTAATATTTGATATTCTATAGATCACTGCACAGGTGGATAAAATGATAGCTTTTTGTAGTTGAATAAAATTATTAAAATGTAAGCTCATCCTCTGCAAGCTCACTGAAAGCATTCCTGATACAACTCCAGTAGCAGACAGACGAGTAATGATATTCACCTCATCCTGTTCCCACGGGACTTTCATCTCTTCTAAGAGGTCCCTGATAATAATATCATTTATATAGCACTTTAAGTGCGTTATAAGTACTACTTTATATTTTAAAAGTTTTAAAATCTTGTTCTCAAGGTTTTTTTAGATCCTTGTTAAATCTATGTGATTATGAGCAAAAGTTCATTCTGTGATAATGGTCCAGTTCTAATATACTTTATTGGTTGAATTCTCCTGAATATTATTATCATCCTTACATCATCATTATTATTATTATTAGCATTGCTCCACTACAGTCTTACTCTGATACTTACCTCATTGTAGGGTGGAAGTGACCTTGGTATTTCCCAGGCTATACTAGCAGAACACAAGTTGTTGCAGGTCTTACATCTTACCAAGATAGGAAGGCTTTGAATATGGGCCTATCTAGGTAACATATCATTCAAGAACCAGTCTAACTAAGTTGGCCAGTAGGTGAGGATTTTTTGGCCATAGAAACTCACTAAATTGCTTACTAATTATGGGGGTGGGGATGGAGTGGAGGGGGTGTTGCAACCTGTGCTAATGGAAGACTCATAGAAATCACTTCATCTCTCTGGGCTTCAGTTTCCTTGATGTAAAATGAAGGGACTAGACTAGATAATTTTTAAGATCTTTTCTAGTTCTACAATTCTGTGAATCCAAGTACTAATCATACTTCATACTTGGGTAGTGTTTTACAATTTTCCATCAAATTTTCACATATTTTATTGGATCTTCACAATAATCCTGTAAAATAGGCAGAGGTTATTACATCTACTTTATAGATGAGGAAACTAAGGCTCAGAAAGGTTCAGGGATTCACCCAAGGTCACACATGTAGTAAGTGGAAGAATTAGATTTCACATCCAGGTCTTCTGAAGTCTGAAGTCCAGTGCTCTATACTATAGGAAGAAGTAAGAGCTAAGAGATCCTCCTCAATATCTTTGCAGAGAAGGAGCAGAACTCAACACAAAGAAAGCATTGAAAACTCATTAATGTGAAGTAGATGAAAATGTTCTATGACAGTTCTCCAGTGGGCATTGGAAAGTATAATTAGTTCTAGTTTTAGAGTCAGAGAACATGGGTTCAAAGCCTGACTCCATTACTTGCAACCTGTGTTATCTCTGAGCCAGTCATGTCTTCTGGACTTTAGCTTCCTCATCTGTAAAATGACAAGGTTTTTACTTGGTCATTTATAAAGTCTCTTCTATATCAAAATGCTGTGATCCAAACTACAGGGAAGTCTAGTAATGGAGACACTCACTTAGCAAGCTTCAAAAATTGTTGCTACAATCAATAGTGTACCTGTTGGGCATGAATCCCGCACTATCCAGGAGAGTTGCTTGGTTTAAGTCTTGAGGGAAACCATGAAGCACCCATCCATAGCGAATACAATCCTGTTTACTGAGGCGGTTTATCAGGACTCTTATGATGATTTGATCAGGAACTAGAATGATAAAGAAATGAAACCTTGTTTTGGACAAAAGTAAAAAATTGAATTTACAAAATCTCTCTTGGAAGATTTATATGAATTGATGCACAATGAAGTAAGCAGAACCAGAAAAGCAATATACACAGTGACTACAGTAATTTAAATGGAAAAAAACAACCACAACCAAACAATCAAAATTAAATGCTGTGAAATTATAATGACCAGCGTCCTATTCTCCTAAGCGAATAGCACAGGGCTTTACATATAGTAGTCTCCCATGAAAGGGTGACTGGATTTTATATGAATATATATACCTTGTCCACTCAATTAAACTGAGGGTAGAATCTATATTTTATACTGCTTTGTTTTTCCCTCAGATACTTCGTTTAGATTCATATTTAGACCTATTGATTAATTTCACAGCTTTTTCAACTATCTGTTTTGCTTTGTAATGATTTTCAAGTTTCCTCCAGTGTGTTTGGTTTGCTTATACACCTCCTTCAAGGTAGGAATATATGTCTTCCATTTTTAAAAGACTTACAACCATCTCCAGTATGTAGATCTATACCCCAAGGAGATTAAACAAAAAGAAAGAGGACCCATATATACAAAAATATTTATAGCAGCTTTTTTTGTGTTGGCAAAGAATTAGAAACTGAAGGGATGCCTATCAATTGGGGAATGACTGAACAAGTTGTGGTATACCAATATGATGGAATACTAACTATTGTGCTGTAAGAAATGATGAAGGAGTTGGTTTCAAAAAGACCTGGGAAGATTTATATGAACTGATGGAAAGGGAAGTGAGCAAAGTCAGGAGAACAATCTACATAGTAACAGCAATAGCGTAAAGACAATCAACTGTGAAAGACTTAGCAAGCGATCAATATAATGATCTACCACAACTCCAAAGGACTGATGATGTAAAATGCTATTCACTTGCAGATAGAGAGCTGATAAAGACTGAAGCATATTTTTTCCCCTTTCCTTCTTTTTCTTGCTTTTTTTTTGGAACATGAATAATATGGAAATGTTTTACATGACTTCTTATGTATATTGGGTACCTTATTTCTTGTCTTCTCAAAGAATGGAAGAAGGGGTGGAAAAAGGAAGAAAATTTGCAACTGAAAAAAAATTTTAAATGATAATTTCCAGTATTGCACCATGATGAACAATGCACAATCATGTAAATGTTTACCATACTTTTAATTACAGAAAAACCAGAGAAATGGCAATAGCTTCCCCTCTGATTTAGAGAACAAAGATGACGCCATCTGGTACACTGTCATGTACTTAAAGGTCTGAAGTATTATTTTACCATGTTGATGATTTACCTTCACTTACGTGAAATCAGTCTCATAGCTAATATGTCTCACAGGCAGGATTTGAAGCCAGGTCTTCCTAACTCAGAGGCTAGCTCTCTAACCACTGCAACATATTGCCTCTCAAGTTACAGATGAAAAAACTTAACCTGAGAGGTTAAGTAACAACAACAACAACAACAATAATAGCAGCTAAAATTTATATAATCCTTACAGGTTTATAAAGCACTTTACATATATCACTTCATTTAATGCTCAAAACAACCCTATGAAGTAGGTGTTAATTATTATCCCCATTCTACTGATTAAGAAATTGTGTGTGTGTGTGTGTGTGTGTGTGTGTGTGAGAGAGAGAGAGAGAGAGAGAGAGAGAGAGAGAGAGAGAGAAGGAAAGGGAGAGGGAGAGAGAGAGAGCCAAGTAGCTTGCCAGGGGTCTCACAGCTAATAAGTAGCAGAGATGGCATGTGAAGCTAAATCTTCTAACTCCAAATCCAGTGCTTTTTTTTCTTTATGCCACACAATATTTTCACACTACTAATATGTCTCTAATAATTCCAAGCACTTATGGAAACAGGATGAATTTAGCATTAGAGAAGGCAATTGCTTCCATAATCAGAACCGTAAGCATTCAATTCAAAGGCATATACCTAAAACCAGAATCTCTGCAAACTGATGCACACGAATAGCCAGATGCAAACACAGGTGAGAATGCCGGAGAAGCAGGAAGGGTGAGGGTGGGTTGGAAAAATTAATCAGAACAGTAAGAACATTGAGTGTGAGCTTCATCCATCCTCCCATCGGAGTTCTATGAAGCTACACTATGAAAGTTCTCCCAGCACATTCAATGGTGTTCAGAGAAGCACAAGGAAGTTCTGTAGCAAGCCCCCAGATGAGACTGTCAGCAAGCTTTCTGTTTTTCAACTAGGTGGGGGATCCCCTGAAGTGGCATACAATTATTTAACAACAAGTTGGCCCTAGTTTCAGGTGTGTCCGGTTGCATTGGCCAGCCACCATAAGTTTTCTCTAAAGGGACACATCACACAGGATGACCCACCTCAGTTTCCAAGACGCTCTTAAATGTTATTTGTCAATCTATGATCTCCTATATATAACTTGTTTTTCTCTAGTCTTCACCTCACATTCTTTTCTGATTCCTATTTAAAACCAACTATTTCTCAAGATTCAATGTTCAAGGATAACTGAAGACTACAGGAAATGTATATAGAAAATGAAATATTACACTGAAATCTCTTATTTACATTGACACAACTGACATTTTCCTGAAATTTATACCTTCTCCCCTAGACTCATTAAATATCCTATGTGGGTGATGTTCTGAGTTCCAGCAATTTGCACTGCATTCCCTACAATTTGCACTCATTTTTCAGAGATGATTGGTAAATATTACCATTGTTTGCTGTGAAATTAGTTCTCAAGAGAAGATAGTTTCCTATATAGTTATTATAACTGACTGCTTCACACCTTCTTTAGAGATGCATAGCTTCCCTAATCCAATATAAAAGAAACTGAAAAGTAAGTGTTTATCAAGGACTTACAACAATGTCAACAGAAAGAACAATAAAAACAAAACTGAATGTTTTGTAATGATAATGACCAAGCTCGGACCAGAGAAGGCCTGAGGAAGGGCACCTCCCTCCCTTTCTTGTAGACTGGGGAACTATGGGTGGAGAATATTGCTTATATTTTCAGACATGATTGATGCTTGTTGGATTGCGGTTTCTTTTAAATTTCTGTTATAAAGGAAGGCTTGATGGATAGGGGAAGGAGGGAAGGATGTATTTGGAAATGCATGTTATATAAAAACAAAAGGCATCAGCCAAAAAAAAATGCTCACATACTTTGAGCTGGGCCTGAATGCTGGCTATTATTTCAATAGGTGAAGCTGGGGAAAAGATGTTACAATCATAGAGAACACTAAAGAAAGGCACAGAAATGGGAAGGTTTGGGAAATATTTGTAAAACAGTGAATAATTTATTTGCCAGAAACAGAATTAGTCTGAGATAAAGATATGGAGCCCAATTATGGTGGTTCTTGAATGTCAGGCTAAGGAGTTTGTACTTTTTTTTCAGGAGGAGGGGTAGCAGGAAGAGCCCTGTATTTAGATGGATGACCTGGATTTAAGTTCCATATCGGTCACTTACTACCATGTGGGACTCCTCCCTTGTCTGGGCCTTAGTTTCCTCCACTGTAAAATGAGGGTGTCCAGCTCTAATCCAGTCATCAATGGGGAGCCGCCAAAGGTTTGTAAGCATGTGAGGAATGAAATCACAGCTACAACACTAGGAAGATTAAGCTGTCCATTATATGTAGGATGGCTATGAGAGAGGGCTAGATTAGAGGCAGGGAGGCCTGTTAGGGGACTGAAGGTGACACTAGGAATAGAAGAAAGGGGATGTGTGTAAGAAATACCGAGACAGCAAGTTTGACATGACCCTCACTGATTATACTGAGAAAAGGTCTCTTTGTTTTGAGAAGCAACATATTTCATTCATAGTACTGATTTAAATATGTTGTTGTTCAGTTGTTTTTCAGTCGTGTCCACCTCTCCATGACCCCATTTGGGTTTTTTTTGGCAAAGATACTGGAGTGGTTTGCCATTTCCTTCTCCAGCTCCTTTTACAGATGAGGAAACTAGGGCAGAGTTAAGTGACTTACTCAGGGTCACACAGCTAGTGTCTGAGGCCAGAAGAAGATGAGTCTTCCTGATTCCCAGCGCAGCGCTCTATCCACTGAGTCACCAGCTGCTTGATTTAAATATAGCCACCATCATAATAGAGGTTCTTTAAAAACTAGAAAGAACTGCGTCACAACTAAATTCAGTTCAGTTCTATGTACTAGGCAATGTACTGGTGATTTGGATATAAAGGGAAAAACCAAAACCCCAGCCCACCACTCAAGGAGTTTACATATAAATTAAATAAAGAGTCTAAACCTAGTGCTAATCCACAAATATTAAATGGTGATCACTTACAATTTTTTATGACTTGACATCACCTTTCATTCACTTTAAAAACTCAGAACCCACAATGTTCCAAGAGGATTGTGAAAGGAAAGTAGCATGATATTGTACTTGAAAGAGGACCTGCCAATCAGGTCCAATACTTTGTATAGTTTTTTGTTTGTTTGTTTGTTTGTTTTTAAATTGAAATGTCTGTGGACATCTTGTTTCCCTCAGAATATAAGCTCCATGAACACAAGAACTTTCATTACTATCTTTTTGTCTCTAGTGCTTAGTCAAGTTTTCAGTACACAGATGGCACTTACCAAATATTTATTGAAAATTGAATTTAGTTTTAATAATACCAGCTCTGCAAGTAGCCAACTATATGAATCTTAGACCAGTCTTGGTCTCTGTTTCCTTCCTCATATTTAGAATGAGGTGTTGGATTCAAGAGTCTCTAAGGTCCTAGCTCTGACATTTTATGACTATTACAAAGAAACAGGTAAGAACAGATTGTAAAGATGATCTCAAATATATGTGAAAATGCTCTTCCAAATATAATGGTGACAATTGTCTTTCCTAGCGGGAGAATTATATTAAATGCAATTCTTTCTTTCATTCTTTCTTCCTTCCTTCTTTTCTTTCTTTTTTAAATTCTCCTCATTTGTTGCCTTAGAATGGAATCATAGAATCCTAGAATCCTAGAATCCATACATTTTAGCTGGCTGGG